TGCCGGGCCCTATAGAAGTAGGTACGCAGGTAAGTGGGCAGGCAGGCAGGTAGGCAGCCAAATATCAGCAATATGGCTACTTTAAGGGAGTCCGTCTATCTGATTACACGCTGCAGCCCCTCCGAGCTACCGACCGCTACCGCACAACTACGTTTGGCCCGGTTCAGTCAGACCCACTCAAGAACGTGTGCCCTTCCAGGAGTGCAAGAGAAGATCTGCCTGTCTAGGATGCAGCAAGCGGCAGAAGAGTAGCACAGAGTGAGTATACCTACATAATAGTGGTCTGCCTTTCTGAACGACGTGCATGTAGGTGCATGACCGAAGGGACCCCATCTCCATGCAATGGCGAGCTATGTGGGAGTTCTAGACCGGATAGAACGCCCTTGGGTCGTACAGGACAGGCAACCCCCTGCGCGAGTGGATCCGCCGAGCGTCCATTAGATCCCTTGTCGTTTTTGAAACTGCTCGTACTTGTGCAGCTGTGTTAAATGGTGTGCAGTACGAGCAGCCTCTTTGGTGGGCTGTCAGCTAAAGTGATTTTCTCCATGTGGGAAAGATCCGCCTGCGTTCCGGCAGAATCCAGCGACCGTTGGCATCTCCTGCTGAGATTCGACACGACCCGGGGTCTTCTTTGGGAACCTGGAAACTTGGAAAGAAGGAATCGGGCAACCATGCTCGAAACGACGGAGCCGAACCGGAGCCGATGCTAGTGAGGAATGAGACCACATTGACGACACGATACAATCCTCACGGCCCAATAGAAATACATTCGTGTCCGTGGTCATCTGTGCCGAATGCCCCATAGGGAAACGATCCGAGGTCCATGTAAGCTCCTCGGTGAACGATTGGATGCCTCCGGACCTCATGCGAACGGCACTCTCGAGCAAGCCTCCAGTTTGGAAAGAGACTCCTCGCTGCTTCTAGAAAAGTATATTCGCTAGCTCTCCCTCGCTAGCTCTCCTTCGCTAGCCCGACCTCGGACCGTCTGATATGCTAATCTCGCTGATATAACCTCCATCTCGCCCTCAGATTGGACATTGGTCGGGACTCGTCGAGATTTGCTGCTTGTCCTTTTAGGTCTGGCCAGCGCCACAGCCGCTCGTATTAGCAAACTCTAATCCCCAAGCTCGGTAGTCACGGTAGTTACGGTAGTTAGTGGAGCCGTCTCGTTGACAGAATTCAAGATTCCGGCAGTAACTAGTTGGCACGGGACCACGAGAAGAGTTTTCCTGCTCAAGTCGCAAGAGTTCGGATATATTCGAGGCATATACGGGGAGCTAATAAGCTGTGAGGGCGTGACGGGCTAGAAGGACCTCCGATGATCCAATGTTCGGGCGTTCTTCCATGTTGCGACGACATCAATGATCGAGCGGGTGGATATGGCGGGAAGTATCCTACTCCTTAACGCCCAACATCGAGTAGGCAACCCTGTGTGGTTTCTGCAAAGAGGCGCTGCATACATACGGAACCAGCAGGCAGTGGAAGTCCTCCATCGGCACTGCGGCATTCTCGGGTTGTTCCTACGCAGCTACATATATGTAAGGGGCCAAGTCTCATGCCGAGGGCTCTCATTACTCCCGCATGCTGCACACGCAACAACTCGCCTTGTCGCCTTGTCACACTCAAAGATCCTCCCCGGGATCCCGTAGATCTGCATGGAAATTGCCTAGGATCACTCGCTTGCCGGCACGCCGCACCAGGATGGCCAGATCCCTCTAGCTGTGCTTGGCTTTGGAACCCGCCCACTACAGCATTGATTTCGCTTTGACAGGAACGGGCGGACTCCTTCTGCATCTGTTGTGTCCAAAAAACACACCCCTATTAAAGTTGGGCCTAGCCTTTGTCTCCAGAGAATGCATAGCGGCCTGGTGCAATAGGGTGAAGGTCTCTGGCAAACTCCACGATAACTAGATCACTGGAGACTACGGTCACTCTATATAGTGTTCCAACCATTCATCCCTTAGGGATATATCGAGCACTTATACCAGATACTCAGGTCTTGTGTATAGCTCCCACATATATATCTCTATTTGATGGATTGAATATCATCATTGTCAGCGCTATGCTATATAACAATATAAACAGTCCGTCTATCGCCGCGGTACGCATAGGAAATAAGTAATAGATACTACTCGCGCTCAGTTTACTAACATAATCCTTAAGAGTATGTCCAGCTCTGGTAGACTGACATGCACCCTGGGCCAATACCCAAGTTTTCTCAGGTGCTCCCCTTACGCATGCCGAAGTTGCTATATCCGAGTTCTAGTTGAGCAATGTGTTATGTTACAGTATTTTGGGCACACACCCGGAGCCCTTCGTCACACACCGAACATACCTCTGGGTAGCTTCAGGCAGACTCGGCGACCTAAGTCGAGGATCGATCGAATCGGGGCCCCCCCTAGGCCAGCTAGCATATCGGATATGAAAGGATATCGGGAAAGCCACAACCAAACCAGCCCGGTCTCTGCCTGACTGATAAGACGATCGAGTTGCCGTCCCTACCTAGCTAGACAGCTCCCTGGCCATGGCGAAACCTGAGGGAGCGTGTTTCCCCTCGTCCCAGCCTTCGCAAGGACTGCCAAATCCGTGTTGTGTGCATCCATCTCCCTCAAGCACGCAAGATCTGACTAGAGGCTCAGCCAATGCCTGCTAATGATCTACATAATGCCTGACCGGAAACTAGCCATATATATGCGACGACAGCACACCGAAGAGGTCAGCAGCGTGTAAGGCATTGAATGACATATCACTTGCATGGATAGTCTAGAACCCGAGGACCGCCACGACCGCGGCCGCATCTCCAATCTACCTTTCTACTAACGGCCACCGCGCCGTTCTGCGGACCGGGAGGGATTCCGTAGCAACTAGGCACGCCTGTCAAGAGGCATTTCTCACTTATCATCCCGCAGAAATAGGGCGCGCGAGGTATGATGGAAGTGGTGAAAGGCAATGGAAGAGAAGATGTAACGTAGCACTCCCCTAGCTCACTCGAATCATTGCCATACGCATAGGGGATGGAAAACAATGCACGTCACACATAATACCAGTGAGTGGCTTTTGAAATGGAGCGTGGAATACCGAGGCAGCAATCACAAGAAAACATAACTAAAGATGATAATTCTCTGTTATGAGCGTAATATGCTTCCACACAGAGTTTACCGGGCGCACTCCTAAGCAAACCTACCTCTACGTTAGCAGTCGTTACCACATGACACCCAAGTCTGCTTCATGAATCAGCCAGACGCTACCTATACCTGACAGCCTGGCTCTATTTACTGTGCGCACACAGGGCTGAACAGGAAGGTTACTCGACTGCTCTCAACCAGGCCTCGTCTAACATCCCGACGACGACAGATATGGATACCTCAGAAGGATATCACCATTCTCCTACGTTATATACCCACCCCTTTTGCAACGAACGATCACCGTATTGGCAAAAGCAAGCAACTGATCAGTCCCATAGGATGCGTACGCACACACGCATATATAGCAGACGAAGCAACAAGCTGTCATAATATCTACCTACTCACCCACTCCAGTCTCCAAGTCGGACATCAAGTATCCAATCGTACCAGTGAACCTTTATATATATAAACCAAGTAGCGCCTCGTTATCACCTACCTAGGTATAAGGGCATCTCTATGAGCATTTGTGTAGATCGCCAGGGAAGACCACCTCAACTATCTACCGCGTACACGATGATGACAAGTATGTACAGCCGGTATAGCTAGCTAGCCTGGAGGGAACCTGGGAGGGAGGGATCGAAGCGCCACCGAGACAACGATCCCTCGTTGCATGTTCCTATCTAGGCCCCCAATATCCGCCGCGCCGCGGAGTCGGTTGTTAGTATTGATTATACTGAAACTTGGGAGGCTCCGGCCTTGATGGCATGCCGGGTGGTCATCTTCACGGCGTATCGTTGCGGGCGCGGGAGGCGGTGGATCCAATAGGGAGCCACAGATTCAAGGCAACCGGTAGCCCGATTACAGGTATAGTCTAAGTATGAACAAACCTATAAGTAATTAACTACTACCTATGTAGGTATGTAGTAAGTCAAGCTAGATCGGGAGGTAAGGTTTGTAGGTGTGTATATGAGACCGCTGGTCGCTGATGGAGATATCCCTCCTGCCTACACACCTCATGACATGCGTGCAATCCCGGTAGGTACAGCTCGTGTGGACTGAAAAGCGGAAAGGGACAGAAGATACCATGGCCTACAGGTGGTGCTTCTTGTAGACACTAGAATGTCTCTACTATGTGTTGTCATTGCCAATCAATCTTGGTATAACTATAGTAGTAGGGGGAACACCACCATCCCATCACCGCTACCTAGGTAGGTAGGTAAGATATGTAGCCTGCTAGCCAGCCAATGCCCACGCTAACGCCAACGCCAACGCCAGCTTCAACGGGTGTGTGGGTTCCTTCCACAAGGAACCACGAGCCGAGGTGAGCTGGGTGGGTGGGTGTCATTCGAATTTTTCTAGATCCAAGTGATATTCGTGCCTATCTTACCATGTTATAATACATAGTAAGTATAGTAACTAGATAGAGCCTATCTGCGATATGGTTCAATCTAGCTACTGAGTGCTATGTAGTTATACGCAGTACCGGTATGTTAGGTCTTTCCTGTCCTGAAATCCCGATCGAGTAGTGAGCGGCGATGCGACGCCTGGCTACGTAATAAATCAAGTCCGCAACAAATGAGTAAGTCCGGTAATGGAGAGCGTCCCGGACAAGGCCGCCGTGTGATTCGCTCTGGTTTGCCTGCACTACTGGTAAATACGTATAGTAAAGTGTTGTCCCGCTTCTAGAAACAACCGAGTCGGGCGAACCGATTACCTAGGGGGCATAAGGGGGGCAGCGAAGCGGGGGGCTGTCCACTTAGCACGGTCTTATTGCCACTACCAACCGATAGCATTGTAACGCTACCTTATAAAGCCAAATAAAAGCAGCTCAATCATCAACCAGCGAGCCTCATTGGCTCATCCGGTTCATCGTCCGGCACGATGGCAGAGTGGTTATCGCGTAAGACTCGAATCTTTCAAGACATGGCAGGGCAACCTTCTCATGTTCTCTGATTCAGACATCTTATTCCTTCGGGAGCGCAGGTTCAAATCCTGCTCGTGTCGATTGATTTTTTTATTCTCTTTTTGTTCTTCTTCAGTTGACCCTCTTCTCTTCACTTCACTTCTTTCTGCACCTAACTAATATCACGCACGATAAGCAATTGTGCCCTTATCACTTTCGGAACTTTGGAATGGACTGCGACGCGTATGGACCCATCACTGGAAGGCCAAGCACCTCTGGATGAATATGAACGAAATGATATATATATATTCTGGCCACCTAGAAATTCCTCAATCAGAGTCAATGATGGCTGGTCTAAGGTCCCCACGTTGGTTAACATGCCCTGGACTTAGAACCAACCGCTTCACAGAGTGGGATAACTCATGTACCGAAGACCATGCTCTCACCCCCCCTCCATCATACTTTTGCTGTCGAAGCCCGATTCCGAATTTGCGCCAAAGGGGGTATCATCCCGCTATCCAGCATAACAGCAAGGCACTAACGTCTGATGCATCGAACAATCCAATCGGCAGTAATTGCAAATACAAATCGTTATAGCCCAGTGCGGTGTCCTCGTTCAAGAACACGCGGCTGGAAGGGAAGCTCGGATCATACACATTGTCGACACTCAGGATCTTGACCTCAACCTGACATCGTAGAGACATTGGGTTCTCTGATCTCCGAAAACCAAGGGCGGGGGAGAACTCGGGCTTCTGACCGATGGTCGTCCTGCAAGAAACAATCCACGTTTCTGGTGTTATATATACTGGTTACTCAAAGAACTGACATGATGCTTAGGAGGCGTTGTATGTTGGTTTTCCTAAGCTAAAGTCCTAAGTTCACGAGTGCTTTTTGAGGTGTCATCGATCCAAGGATGCAATATATAATCGTGATAACAATCGCAGCCTGGTCTTCCAATGAAAGGCAACTAGTATGACCTAGGTTCTCTTGGGGTAACTGCACGCTCTGAGGAAAGCTGCGCACCTGGGCAGGGTTATCAAATATCAGAGCCCCTCTTTCGCGAGCATATCAACAATGTCTAGATAGAATGCGACAGCATTGAACCTGCGGTATTGTCAGCCATCGCTAGTAGGTAGTAGATCCATATCATGCCATCTTTACTCACTTGGGATCAACGCCCATCATTTTCCGTATTGTCCATCGCCATCGATTCGTCCACTACGATAATTAGCTCCAGATAGTTCTGCCCCCTTTATATAGTAATACTAAACAAAGTGCCGAGGATCCTTCTGATCCCCACGTTGGAGTGAGCAACTGGGCAGTCTGGAGGGTTTACTAACATTGATCAAGTCCAGGTGGCTAACGCCCACCAGCGTCCCCTTGTACGTGCCCCACTTCGAGCTCGCGACGCTCACGAGCCCGTCGTTGGGGCCCTCGTCCTGCGTAATGACGCGGTGCGTCTGGCGGAAGGGGCTGAGCAGCGGGGGCGGGTCGGTGGTGGCGCCGTAGGAGAAGTAGCGGACGGCCGGGTCGTCCGGGACGCGCGGGTTGAACTCCTCGGCCATGTAGCGGCGCGTGAGCTGCTGGAAGGCGCCCGTGTCCATGCCGATGCCCTCGACGAACTTGTAGATGCTGGGGAGCCGCTCGGTCCCGATCTGCTCGAACAGGTAGTCGGCGAAGGCGCTGCCGTGGTGCGGCGACGCCACCGTCACGAGCGAGTGTACCGCCACGTTCTTCGGCTGCAGGTGCGAGATCATGTACCGCGCGTCTAGGCCGCCCATGCTGTGCGCGATGATGTTGACGTTCTTGCCTTTCGCGTTTTTCGCTATGTGCTCTGCCAGTTTCTCGGCCCGCTGTTCGATACTGCCGGACTGCGATGTCCGAGGTTAGTACCTCTCATTGCTTCCCCCCTACTCCATTAACTGCTCGGGAGCTATGAGGTATGTGTCGGGGGCTATTTGATATTCCGATAAGCGCCGTTGACAACTCCGGACATGGGTACTGAGAGTAACAAGGGTGAAGGAAAAGGGGGCTAAGAAGCCATCCCGGGTATGTAGCTCTTACTGGGGGCACAGCTGTAATGATGACCTCGACGCCATTAGCAGTAAGGGCATTGGTGATGCCACGCCAGTAATGTACGGCGGGTAGCCATCCACCCGCGATCCGAAGTTCGGCAAAGCCCAACAAACCATGAGCGAGAACCACTGGGTATTTGGGGGTTGCTGGGTTATTGTTAGTTTGTGATCGACTTGCACTTCCTGAAATAGGAGACTGAGACTGCCAACACCTGACTCATACCGTACTGATCCTTGAGCTTCGCATAGTCATCCTGAATCAATTTCCCCAGATCCTTCAGCCTTGGATCGTCACCGAGGCCTGTGGAGTACAGTCTAGCACTCCGGCAATGCAACGGGGTTGAAGCCCTGGATATGGGTGTGGATTTGGTGGACAGCCGATGTGTTATGTGGTGTGCTCTGGAGTATACACTACGTAGCTGACCATGATTGCAGGCACGGCCGGAGGCGTAAGGAGACAATATCATCTCGGTCCACGTTATACCTCACCCAGCATGCGGTTATCAGCTGCTATTGGCAGTTATTAGAGAAGGTGGTATTCGGTACTAGGTAGCTTCAAGTGCATGAGATGCATGTTGGTTTATTTTGGGTAAGACGCTCTTGGAAGTGGAATCAAGCGAGGTCGTGGGGTTGAAGGCTGTACATACTCTGATACTACGTAGTAGTAACTACAGGTAGTATCTTCAGACTTCAGGACCTCCAGTCTGCAGCCTCTGGATCTTCAATGTACTACGGTGGGTAAAGTATCTTTGGGTCTTCAATGTTGTTGTTGTGCCTTGTCCCAGGCAAATATGCCGTCATCGAAGGCTTAAGCAAAGACATACATACATACCTACATACTAATACCACACTAGCCACTAGGTAAGTTAGGCAGGTACGGCTGGTGTCGTACGTAAAGTGAGTGAAGCACTTGCCAATAGGGATTCCCACGCCCCACTATCTTCCCGTGCATCGCTCCCGAGGTCCATTCAGGCATTCCTCTCCCAGTCTTTCGCACGGGTTCCTAGGTAGGAACCTACTTAGGTACCTGGTCATTATATGACCAAAGTTCTTATCAACAACTGCCAACTCTTTTATAATGCCAACCACATGACATCGACAGTATGCATGCAATTTCGGCCGACGTTTGGGTGTTGGCATGCAACAAGCACGGCACTTACGCCTTAGGTAGGTGCCGTCCAGGTATTCCAAAGAGATGTATGTAACCAAACCACATACCCACCACATATAGGTACTTCGTAACCAACTACCTGATCATCTCAACCCGGTCCCATACAACCCTGGAGGTAAGTCCATTCAGCCATTCCGGCCTCGCTGCCTTCCCAGCCATACCTAAACCCAGACACAGCCCGAAAGGCTTGGATTGGTAATATTGGAGGGCATGATCAATCTTGAGGTGATTCATATGCTTCTGCACAATGCCCAGGTAGGCACGTCGCATACTCTTCTTTCGTTCATTCACGTTCCATTTCATAGGGTTCATGAATCATGAACCATGAGAAGTGCCCCATAACCCGTCTCCGCGCCGCCGCCCTATGTCACCTCGCCCGCGTTTGGCGGCTAGGGGCTTGCCCTATAAGAGTGCCCCATTAAGGGGCGCGGCGCTAGATCTTTCTGACATGGGAAGAAAGGGACAAGGGGGCAAGAGTGAAAGAGAGAAAGAGAGAACTCGGTCAACCGTACTCCGCATCGTGGTGAGCCGGCCCGAGAGTTGAGCGAGATTGCTGATCATATCCTCTTGTAATATACCCTCCATATACCCCCGCCTCTCTCCCGCTCGCTCAGCCCGCCGTTCATGCCTACCAACACCTCCGATCGAGCGTTGCATCCAGGGTTGCCTTTCCCTTTTGATCCTCCCGCAGCTAGCTCCCAACACGTACACACACATACACCACGTCCCGTCACGTCCTTCGTTGGCGACGGCTGCAAGGGGTGAGAAGACCCTGGTCTTTGTTTACAGTTGCATCCCATTATGGAAACCAAAAGTAACACTGCCATCTTCGCGCGCTACTCCTCCTCGCTGCCCAGTCTGTCTTGACGCTATACCGTCTCATCAGGCCCTAACTAAGGCCCCAAACTCTAGCCAAGAGCGCCGCCTTATGCTGTTGGTCACTGCTTACCTTACCAGCAACCCGGGTGGTCTGCCCGATGCCAATGAATCTCAAACGAGCGAGCATGACACATGGCCGTCATCAATAAATAACGTGAATGAAAAAAGAACCAAAAAGCAAAGGATAGCCAACTGCGCTGTTTAAACCCCGGCTGCACACCTGTTGACCGTTAAGTGGCCATTTTAGCCTATTCATGTTGGCTGTCTGCCTGTTACCTTGGTGCTTTCTGACCAGGCTCTGAAAAGCCTTACACTCTACGTACCTACGTACTATGAGCCGGGTGGGGGCATCGATCAACCATGCGATGCAGGACATCCCCAGCTAAATCTCAACGGCCACTAATGGCACTTGGTGAGAAGGGGTTCCAATTGGTGCGATAGAGAGGCCACCTTCGGGCCATCCCTAGGCTTTGCCGTCCGCGCGCAGTCGAGCCTTGTCATCTTATGTCGCGTTTAGGCACTGGGCTGATATGGACCCCCCTTTCGATATCCGACCAACGGCGTGGCAGCTTTAGCCGCGCTGTTCTCCTCGCCCATGAAGATCCCGGCGGTGATTGGCAGTCTGGGTCAGGGGGGGTTCCAGCCTTACCGATCTCTCGGGACCGGCCTAACCCCCTTTCGGCACTTTTGTATAATGGCTGGGCGGTGCGGTACGAAGTTGCTGAACGACCCCCTCTGGCGAGGTGCCATTCATGGTGGAGTTCATTCGCTGGTTTGAGCTGTTCGTTTCGAGCACAGTATGACAGAAACTTTGGGAAGATGGGTGGTAGGTACGTAGGTAGGTTGGTGTTGTGTGGTGACAGTGGTGTCGTGTAACAGGGCTTCCCTTGTGCTCGTCCTAGGTAGATCTTTGCTCAAATCAAGACATGGGGTAGGCGAACCTACCAACAGCCGTACCACAGCAGCCTGCTGCACT